TCACTTGTTATTATCAAAAAACCACTCCAAAGGTAAACAACGTCGCAGTCACGCGATGTCATTAGAAAGTTAAAAACATGCAGATTCATATGTTATTAAATATAATTTTCCTAAATTTGGAATTTAAACCTTTAACAATAAGGTGCGGACTTTTATAATAGGGGAGAAGCACCAAATATCGCATACTTTTGTTTGGAAATTAAAAAAAATAGAAATCAACACTTCAGAACTTTAAATTTAACCTTAGTCTTTATTTTAAGATCTATTAGAAACAATACAAATTCTTTATATTCTAATTAAATATTTTAAGCTGTAGCTTAAAATATTATACGTTTATGTTTATTATTAGTAAATAATATACGTTTTATAAAAAAATGGGAAAAATCAATGCATTTCAATCAAACAATTTATTAATTTGTATTTATTAGCAATAATCAGACTTGTAATCAATCTTTCATTGGGTAATTAGGAAATTAAACATAAAAAAATTAACTTATATCTATTAGAGATCCGAAAGGAACTTCAACATTCTTCAAAAAAATTATAAGCTAAACTTTTAAAAAAACTGTTTTCAACTTAGATTGTTTAAAAGAACATAAAAAAATATATTAATTGCATATATGAAAAGCTTTAAAGCTCTCATTTAAAAAAGTATCCTAATATCAGATATCCAATGTTAGGTATCTATCGGATAATTAAGATTTCACAAAGCTAAAAGAAACTCATGGTTCTGCCATATTCTAAACTAGTCAGCTGATTTTTTTACAGTGGCGCCACTTTATAGTTGGCTATTAAAACATGAAATAAAAAATAAATGGCACTATAGAAAAAAAAACAGATAGTCCAATCCGAAATTAGGCAACTATCCGTTATAAGGTGCTTTTCCCTTACTGCGTATTTTTTTTACAATTAATCTTAAAACCCAGTGCTGTTGTCACTAAATAGGAATCAGGAAGACACACACCGAACATAGATATAGCATTGAATAGAAAGTCTATAAAATAATTTATATATGTAATCCACTTTTGTTACTCTACTAGACCTTCACTTACAGAATTTTCTGTTTTCGAGTTAAATATCGTTATATTTTAATAGCACAGTTAAAGAAAATCACTCGCACAACCAAAAAATAGATAAATTATAATTTATAACATTTCGTACATGCATTACATTTCGTACATCTTCCTTCTCATACTCTTACGCAAAAGTAAAGCAACGTTAGACTACAATCATCGAGTAAGTGTATAACCAGAAATAGAGACGAAATAAGGGCCATTCATCCCTGGCAACTCATCAGGCAAATGGGCCTTATATCACTTTTAAATATCAACTCTCGTTTGCGCTGGAATCACTAGAAAACTAATATAATATAGTGCCAACAACTGACTTGTGTGTACGTCTCCGTACCACATTCCAAAAATATTCTGTATTTATGCTATTTATTGTAATAAAGATAATATCTCTAACAATGGGGGCTGTTCCGTTTGGTGGTGTGGGAAAACAGCAAAACATCTAATTAAAAAACAAAGGAATTCACATTTCATCGGTAATTAAATATGTAATTTTGCAATTTTTTAGTCCATTATAGCAAAGCTCAAGTTAAACTCGTCGATTTGGAGTGAAACAATTGACGACACACGTTTCGAACTCGGGCTGGCCAATCGGAGCGCAGTTGTCATAGTAATGATTTGCCACAATAGTTTTCAAAGAAATGAAATGACATTTCATCTATAAGCCCAATCCTTAAGTTGGATGTTCATCCTTGTTCATGAAATTGAACACTTTGCATTCTACTAACATACTAACAGTCATTCTCTTATTTTAATATAGTTTTAGCAATATTTTGTGTAGTTGTCGCCCAACTGAAAATTAAATAGGTAATAAACACACCAGTACACGCATTTCAGTCCATTCGTAAGGAAGATACGAATCCATGGCGCTTATAAATAAATAGGCGCTACGACAAACTGGCTTGCACACCTCCCAGCTAACAGCAAAGTGAAAGGATATGAAAATACCTTATACGTTAGAGATTATGAATGATGAACATGAATTTGAATTGAATTTGAAAAATGATGATGAACATTATGAATTTTTAAACGACTTCAAAACATGGAGGAGGTTCTTAAATAGACCGTTTTTTTATGTATGTTACGTGATAACTCCGTGTGAACACGTGTGAACCGATTTTGATGATTCTTTTCTTGTTAGAAAGGAGGTACCTCAGTATTGGTCCCATTTAAATTTGAAGAAAATATTCCACCTCTAAGGGTGGCAAACTAGAGGATGGATCAGATTTCGCGCACTTTGCGGTAACCGATTTCAATAAAACTTGGCAAATATGTGTCCACGAACATTTGAGATCGCTTTTTTTTATAAAAGTTATATTATAACGTGTAACACCTAGCAAAACTCTTCTTATATATATTTTCTTGTCATACTAAATATAAAAATTAATAATCCGTGTAATATTCCCTGATGTGGATATAATTCATATCCATTACAGTACTTGTTCTTTTGAGTACCTAAGCGTTTTATGTAATAAATGGTTATCGGAGCTGGTAGAAAAGGTGTATTAATAAAAAATGCATATGATGACCATGTAATACACGCGGAGTGTTCATTACGACATAAATTACAATGTATGATAGCGGAAGATATCAAATATCGTTATCAAGTATCGTATCGTATAATATATATCGTTTTACTTGGATATATTATATACACACACATACACACACTCGCGGTCGTCCGTGCAAGACATACGCAGTTACCTACAGTGTGTTTGCGTTTGACCCAGAGCATACATATAATTCACAATTCTGTTTTTCAAAGTACTTAAAAAAATAGAATCATTTATTAAATATTACAATGTTACAATTTAAAATAGTACATATAGGTACTATAATATACTGGTAGGTACCTACACCTAAAAAATTATCAATTTACGACGTTAAGTATAAAATGAAATTATGGATTCTTTAAATTCCGGTACCCACAACCTTTTGTCACAAAAAGATCATTGCTCTACACTGTAAAATTCAAGATCAAGTCGGGTCAAGTTTCAGTCGGGTGTAAAACATTTTGTCGTTGGTAACACTTCAGACCCCTAGTCTTGGGGATCAATTACTCGCTCGTTTCGTCGAGTTGTTACGGTAATCAACTTTACAAATATTCTTAAACAATGACTAAAAGCATCTTATCCGACTTTTTTAGATCAGCACCACGGAATTTAAATCCAGCGTAGGTGCCTATACATTTGTTAAATTTTAATCTTGATATTTGTCGATTGCTAACAGATCATCGTCATCACACACCTTATCAAGCGACAATAACGATCGTCAAAAATAGAGCAAATCTGTAGCATCTATATGTGTTTGTACACAATCACAGAGAACTTCGGCGAAATTATTGTTAAAAGTAAAATTCTTTAGCGTCTTCAAACGCCATAATTATAAATTTCAATAAGTTCATTAGATATTTCAAATTATACTAAAGGCTATGTCTACGTCTGGAATTAGAATCATATTTTAAGTACGCTATGATGGCCGTTTTGACAGATTACAATAGTGAGATGAAACCTCAATTCGTTATCGAAAAAAAATATCATCAAATGCGAATCGCGTCTATAAGTGTTTAGATTTCTAGCTATTATTGCCGGAAGTAGCCGAAAAAAAGTTTAAAAAAAAACGAAAATAAAAACGTGGCCAGCGATCCCATAAGTGACGATCTCATTTTTAGAAAGATTTCATATAAAAAAATTTCGAATTTCGGAAAACAAATGCCGAGTAGTGTCGTATAATTATACATTCGTTGACCTGAGTCGATGTGTACATTCCAGTCAATGTATACATTCCATAAGTTTTACTGTACGTCATTATTGACAACAATGTACAGCAATTAGCTCCTTCAACGGAGTTATGAATTAATACGAAACTTGATGAGAGGGCAAATGTGAAAATGGCCATCATAGCAAGCCGTTACTTTAAATGAAATTCAAATTACTAATTAGTACCTATGTAACCGGACTGATATCTATAACTGTCAGTTTCTTAGTTTCTTTACGTTGAGTGACATCTAACTGCCAAAAACAGATTTTCAACATACCTACGTATGGTCCACATTAAGTTAGTTCACGTAATATCATATATACTGATTCGACCGATTTGCAATAAGAGATTCAACTACTTTATTACAAAAAAATAAAGTAGATAATTCCTTCTCCAATATATCGCACTGCTATTACAATAGTGATATAACTCTAAATATGTGAAATTTAATATTATATCATAACTGAACGTAAAATTTGATTCTCTACAGGTCAAAAAAACCTTCGTTAGAATATTGTAAGAAATAATCAAAAGATATCCTTAACTCAAAATGTCACATGAAGTGTGTGTGAGCTAGTAACTTTATGTGAGCTAGTTCTGGCCAAAATAATCCGTATTCAAAAATGTTAAATTATTTTTCCATTTCATTTTTAAATATATTTGTGAAATTGTTTAGGTGTATTGAGTAATAAACTATAATAGACATAATAAGTTTTATTGACTTTTTGCGGGAAGTAATTCGTTTTTCATCGATTCCGAGGAAGTCCACTTTTTGAGTTAATACACTAACAACAGTGTATTAACTAAAAAAGTGGACTTACATTTAATACAAATTAACAGTGCGATATGGAGTGTGTAAAACTGACAAAAAGTTCCCGATATCAGGGACAGATGGCATGTTTCATAAAAATATAATTTCCTCTGAACTTTCGTCACGGCACAAACCCACGTAATTTTTCAGCTTGTATTAACTAATGTTTAAGGCTTCTGTAGTTTATTTTCACATAATAACACACCGAATATATTTTATTCAATTATATAAATAACCTCCACAACTTCAAAATATTTTTAATATCACACTTCTCAGAATAGTAAATTCAAAACTAAATTTGTTCAGGAATTTAAACTCTATATTTTCACATACTTTTCATAAATAGACGCATACAAATAATGTCAACAAAACTTTATATGGGAGGTCGCCATTGTTCTTTATGTCACGGATCACGTAGTTGCTTATTCCACAATGTACTCCCTCGTGCTGGCACTTAGGATTGCATCTTTGATTGCGGCGAACACGAATCGGATGTTTTCAGTATCTGCAAATGAAATTATCACTGTGAGTGTCGGCAAGTCACTTGCGACAATAATCATTTCCTTAATTCAAACTAATTGCTAAGGTCACGTCGTTGCCGATAAAAACTTATTATAACAAGAATACAGTTACAAGCAATACAGTTACTTCAAACTTCGCTTATATGTACATACAAACTGAAACTGAAAAGTTAACAATCGGTTATCGCAAAGTGCGCGAAACCGGATTCAGCCCTTAGTTTGCCACATTTAGAGGTGGAATATTTTCTTTCAATTGACATGGGACCAATACTGAGATACCCTTTTTCCAACAAAAAAGAATCATCAAAATCGGTTTACAAATAATAATCGCGTAACATATACACAAAGAAAAGAAAATTATGAAATATAATATATAATATAAAAATATTTTATGAAGTCGGTTAAAAACTTTATCGTGAACAAAACACCCATTTTCTTACATCAAAAGATGGGTGCTTTATGCACGATAAAGTTTCGCTTGCGCTGTATATATTCTTGGTTCAAGATCATGGTATTTTGCAATACCTACTGCGTTATTGTATAAAGGCAGCGAGTTGTTACTGACATAGGCCGCTATTCTAAGAAAGCCTTCGAAATATTCACATTATTAGCAACGCAAAAAAATATAATTTAAAATCTATCTTAGCAGACATACTGCAAATTGTTGTGACCACCATTTTGTCATTTATTAAATATTTACTTCATCTTTCTCGTGCATTATGTAGAATGTTACAGAAGGGTCTAAGGGCGCATTCAAATTAGACGCTTGTAGAAGCGCTGCAATTTTTAGGTTACTAATTGTGCCAGCATAATCTCAGTACAGAGTACTAAAAAAACCGACCTCAAAAGTACGTTGAATTACATCTATTTGCCCAGTTTTATTGAAATCGATTACCGGAATTGCGCAAACCCGGATTCATCCCCTAGTTCGCCACTATACGGAACTTGCCATAAGAGATAATAAAAATCGGTTCTTACTACTGAAAGTATAATATTGAGAGAGAAAAACTCGTAACATACCATAGCCCCTCATCACTGTGACCATTAAATGATCTATTGTGATCACCACTAATCACAGCTCGGAGCCAGGACCAACAGCATTAAGGAACTGAAGGACTTTCCTGACTCCGACAGTCTTTATGTCCTCTGGGTGATGAATATATGCAGGGGAGTCAGATTCAGTAATGCTAAATGCATTGCTGAATCTGGGCCGCCCCAGGTGTAGTGGACATGGCTTCCGTTGTTAGCAGACACGCGACACGCTTTAGACTGCCCAATGTGACAATAGTAGTTGTTTGACTGACTTTGCCACTTCAAACAACAGACGCATATGTTACTATGGGCCTCACAATTGCCTTGTATAACCAGAGAGTCATCTTTGGTTTAAGGCCCCAACGCTGTCCTGCTATACGACTACAGATACCTAAGGCCATCTTGGCCTTGTTGACCGTGTTAGCTATATGACAGTTCCACCTGAGGGTTTGATCTAGGGTTACCCCTAAATATTTAACTTCTGCGGAAAAACTCACAGGCCTGTTACCAAGGATCGGTTCCACTAGCTTGTCTAGTTTCCGCTTCCTAGTGAAAGGAACAATAGTTGTCTTTTCCGCATTAATAGATAATTCGTTATCAGGACACCACGCGGAAATGGTGTCAAGAGCCCCTTGCATAAGTGATGACATAGTACTTTGGCAGTGCCCTCGAACTGTGATCACTAGGTCACCCGTCTATCCCAGGGCGTCAATGTTCAGTTCGGCTAACTTATACAGGAGCTGATCCACAGCAAGAGTCCAAAGGAGATGAGAAATTACCCCCCTCGCAGGCGACCCCTTACTGTGGAGGCCACAAGCCGGTCCCCGTGTAACGAGATACTGGCTCTGCGGCTTAAGAGCATATTTTGCACCCATCTCGTAGTAGAAGTGTCTACACCTTTGCAGGTTAGTCCCTTTACCAGAGTACGAATGGGCGTCTTGTCAAAAGCACCTTCTATGTCTAGAAAGGCACATGGTGCTATTTGTTTGTCCTCAAACGCTCTTTCAGCCCTGTCCATAACGTGGAGCAGAGCTGTCTCTGTGGATTTTCCACTTTGATAGGCGTGTTGAGTGTGATGGATAGGTCTAAATATTAAGGACGAAGCCTTAATGTGAATGTCAAGTACCTTCTCCATTGCTTTGAGCAAAAATGAGGTTATATATATATATATTTTGACCAGGTATGGCAAGAGTACACTTATACTCTGCTGCAGTAAGATGGGAGTAATACTGTCCTCAGCTGGGGATTTGTACGATTTAAACGAGCTAATAGCCCAAGCCCCTTTTCGAGGTCTTATAATGTTCCAGTCCTCGTTGCGAGGTGTATGTACAGTAATTACTGGGTAAGTAAGCGAGTCGCACAAGGCCCCCGGAAAGTGGGTTGACATTAGAAGCTCAAGGATTTCTGTCGTAGAAGTCGAGTAGGTCCCATCAGGCTTTTTTAACAGTCTTGGTTGATGGGAGTTGGCTTTAGCAAGCACTCTGTGTAGACGTGCATTTTGAGGAGCACTACAAAACCACGATGCTCGCTTAGCCTTCCTTATCTTCTTATATTTGTTATAATTGGTTAGGGCCTTCCTGTAGGTCTCCCATTCCTTTGTCAGCTTGGCCCTATTGGAGAGTCTCCGAGTTTTCTCTCTTAGCTTTCTCAGTTTGGCATTCCACCAGGGAACCTTCCTATTGGAGATCCGAATTTTTGGTGCGCAGCTTTTCTCAAACGCGCTAATAATGCCCCCAGTAGTGACCTCAACAGCTAACTCTAGACTCTAAGTGGTTTTGATCGATTTAGGAAACCCTTATAGATACTGCCCTAGTCTGTCTCTATAGACGTCTCAGGCCGCGTCCCTTGGATTCCTAAATGTCAACAAGCAAACAAACATCTCCTGCTCCCAGATCAAATCTTATATGTTTATGATCCCACATTGACGTCTCATCACTAACATGCCAGACGGTTATAAGTCCGGCTACTCTAGCCGTAGAGAAACTAATGTCCAGAATTTTTTGTCTTGACCTAGTGACAAAAGTTGGTTTACATGGCCACGGCATGGTGGAGATTTGCTTGGAGAACCCTCACCCTTTCCCCCCGAGGGCGCCATCTAGCGGAGATTAAAACCCCGGCCGCGTTGCTGCCCCCGACTGCTACGAGGAGGACGAGGCCGTCCTCGTGAGCCTCGCGGGTTGGCAGCCCCACGCCCTTGCACTCCTCCACGTGCCGTACTTCGTCTACGTGGGTTCGGTGCTGAAAACCACGGTCGTGTACCCCCCAGACCGTCATTTAGTGCCATTACTGTGGCAATTTTTGACCGAGCCGCCCCAGTACTGGCACTTGTTGTTGGCTGCGCTGTTTGGACTCCCGGGACAGCGGGTGCTGTCCGAGTGTGCCCCGCCTCCCATCCGCGATTCTTCTGGGGCGATGCACCCCGAGTCGAAGACGGGGCATCTGCGCTGCGGTTCCCGGCCCCAATTCCTCAAGCGGAGTAGTAACCGACCCTGGTTTCGAGACCGAGGCACCCCGCGCAGTGCCGCCGCTGAGAGTGCTTTCCGGATACCCCTTGATCTTAAACGTGACCTGTATAAAAACCAAGGTGTGCCCGGCAATTTGAGGCACGGAGATTCTCCACAGACGGGTCAGAGCGAACGCGACTACCCACTCGTACGCATCTTCCCTTGCGTGAAGAATCTTCCATACCTCAGTGCGAAGACCTCTATTTTGGGCAGGCAGATGGCCATCTGCACCGACTCACATCCCTTCTTGGGAATGTAAGTGGTGGCGGTGGTGGGCTTCGGAAGCTTGCTTTCCTTAATCAAGGACAGCTGGGCTCCCGACCACGGCTTCAAATTGCCGATCTTTCCCACAAGCCAGTCTGCACTTGCTTGGTTCTTGCAGGTAACAAGAATCCAGCCTGGCTTGTGAGAGAGGCCCAGGAACTTTGGTCCCTCGCCATGCGCTGTTGTGCTCGCTATGGTGCGGACCAGAAACAGCTCCACCAGCTCCATTTGCTCCTCTGACATGGATTTCGAATTCCGGATACCCACGCGCAGGGAGCCCGCCATTTCACTGAAAGTTGGTCTGTTCCTGCTTTCAGCTGACGCTATGGTCTTGGGAGCCTTCCTTACATGTTCCTGTGGCGACACCTCCTCTGACCGTCCACGCTTTTGCGCTTTCGGTGTTGGAGATGTTTTAGGCACCGGAAGTTCACTCCAGGGCTATTCATATAGAGGCAGAGCTTCTGCGTAGCTCATACCTGTTTTCATCAGGCCCTGTAGTCTCTTCCGGCGAGACCCGCTCAGTCGAATGCGCGGCTGAGCGCTGGATTCCGACACCAGGGGATCCGAAGGACCCGCCTGGTTTGTATCCATAGCCGTAACCGAATTTGCTGCTTCATTGCTTCATTGCTGGGTGGACTGTCCATCCCAGCAATCGTTTCCTCCAAGGAGGCAATTAAGGTGTTAACGCTTATTTCAATATTAAGGGATACTAAATAAACTAAAAGTTATGCATCAAACCACAAAACAATTACGCCATAAATATTTGCACATTCTATAGAATGCAACAAATAAATATTTCGACACTGAAAGATCATTTAGTGTTATTGTACCTTTTAGTACCGAATGAAAAATGTAAATAAAAGTCCTTACCTGTCGCACAGGTAAAGTGAGAATATATGATTTTCTCTGGGTCGGGGTTGAGGTCAAGGAACATTTGCAGGATGAATTCTCGCGCCGTGATTGCGTCGCGCTGCGGACCTGATTTTTTTTTATAATTATTAAACAAAGATTGAAAACTTAGAAAAAATTCACTTCAATCCGGTTAGATTCGAACCAACGTCTCCAAGCAAACCGTACCAGACGCTATGTCGACTAAGCCACGGAACGAACCAACGGACCTCACGAAATTTTCTATATGCCTGTTGCAGATGTTTGTTTTGGTTTTTAACAACTTTTTGTCGTAGTGCCATCTGTGAGAAATCTATGGGTCGTATTCTAGAACTCTACTCAATGCTCAAGTCAGGATTTGAGTATGGTTTAAAGCACTCGAAATCATACTCAAGTCCCTGCCATTAGGGTCGTATTTCCAGTGCTTGTGTTTTCAGTGCAATCCTGACTTGAGCATTGAGTAGAGTTCTAGAATACAACACTTAGAGTGTTTCATTTTTTTTATTTAAAAATGTACAGTAAATCGCCAGATTATAAGTAAATTTTTGGGTGATGTTTGGCGGTTGAGAGCGACGAAACCACCGCTTCAACGTGTCTTAGTCATCAAACACATGCATTGTAGTCTCCTGATGTTACTACCAACCAGTGCTTTAGCGAGAGGATTCGGATGAGAATGCGGACTAAATAGACCCACAGTCATGGTCTCGCTACAGGGTTACTTAACTTTTACTTAGCGTACGAGTTTCAAACGGCTTACAAATTATAACTTGTCCGAATAAAATAAATTGGATTATATACCTGTGACACTGGAAGGTTGGTGGTATTTAAGGCATAAGTTTTCTTTTTTTTTTTAAGTGCCAGCATTCATAGATTCTGATAATGGCTGCACTTTTATTATGCACTTTTTATACTTTGTAACGTTTAAGTTCCATGAATAAAAACTTATTTATTATGATTATTTTTGATAAGTCATATCGTTCGATCCGCAACGTGCTCCCCACTAATTGGTACCCAAATTGCAGAACACTCAATTCATTTATTTAAAAAATTATTAAGTCTACCAATTCTACATTTTACACAAATTTTTAAGTATGGGGAGTAGACGTAGCTGATGAGGCGCCAGAGATGCTAATGAAGGTAAATATGAAATAGTAAAATAGATAGAAGACATACCGTCGTATTCAGGAAAATAGTCGGCGAGATGCGAGTACATGATTTTTTCATCGAACAAGTCCTTCTTGTTGAGGAAAAGAATCATGGATGTGCGCGTGAACCACGGGTATCTTAAGATCGTCTTGAACAAGGCCTTTGATTTTTCCATTTGGTTCTGGAATTTATATAAAACATATTGTTTTCATCAAACAAAATAACGACACATTGTCTTTCATTATCATTGTAATATGGCTTTTTTGTTTTTCCTGGAGAAATTATAAAACTTTTGTTTTCTTTTTTTGTTTTTTGTTTGTATCGTCCCGTCATATTTGGCATGAAACAATTTTTTCAACGCAGCGTAACAATTTTCGGTTCAGCACTCACTACAGATCGTAAGCCAGCTCTTGTTAATAAATTAATAGACTCGTTTTAAAAATGGTAAAGGTGAGTCCTGACAGGATTTGTTCAACTTTTTGACGATTGACACGGGTGATCAAAAAAAAGGAAATTGGTAAGCAGTACACGACCAACGTTGTATTTTTGTCGAGCAACATGTGTGATCAGATAAAGTCTGTAAATATTTATTTAAGTGCAAGAAACAAACGATCGATTACGTATTTTTGTAGATCGACACGTGTCGATTGTCAAAAAGTCGAGCACATCTGTAGGCACCTTAAGGTCTAGTTTCAACTATTTTATGTCTTTTTTCCAAGACGGAGTAACATTACAGTTTAAGCATATAAGGGTTGCTAATTCACAATCGTTCTAATTTGTGGTTCACAAAACAGCTAGTGATTGTTGTCGACAAATATTCCATAATCGATACTATTCGACCACATATTCGACAATCGACAAAAAATTCGTTATTATTACACAATTAATGGCTGAACTTGTTTCAGTAATAAATACAAGTAATAATAGTTACTTACCTTATATTCTGATCCGAATATAATATGATCATATTCACTAAGAGCTGCTAAAAATATTATAGTTTCGACATTTTCAAAACAGTGGATCCACTTCCTTCGCTCCGATCTTTGGCCCCCGACGTCAACGAGTCTGTTAACATTTTTTTAAATAGTATCATTAATCGAAAATAGATAAAAAAGAGGTAAAAAGAAGAAATAGAAATTGAAAATACAGGCTACTAAAAACTTAAGCAATTTAACAGGGGAGAATTAACAAAAACTGTAAAACAAAGTCACTAAATTAAACTGTACGTACGCAAAAAAAAACATAGTAATAATAAATAATAGTAACAGTAAAAAGTTATAGTAAAATAAGATATGGTAACTCCGTACATAGTAACAGGGCGGCTTGTGTGTGTGCGTGACTACCGGGCACCGTGTACACATTCACATAATAATGAAAGGCGCGTTTGGACGACCAGTGTTATGCAACGCAAGTGCATTTTTTATAATACCAAGTGACCAGACGAACAAATCGTGCGCCTGATGGTAAGCGACACGCTTTTTCTTAACAGTTGCAGTGCCACTCAGGAGTCACATTATTGCTTGGCGGCAGAAATAGGTAAGGTGGCAATACTTCCCTGGACGAAATCTTTCACAAGGAGCTCTATTGCTACAGCTTCATCGTAAGATTATGCGAATGTGCACGTTCGTACACGGCGTATGGTGGGCGCACACACATGCAAGCCGCGCTGTTACGTTTGTATGGATTTACCATACTTGTCTTATAGTTATAGTATACTATAGTTCTAGCTTTGTCGCTACACGCGCAGGGCCAGAAATGTACCTAAATATTATCCCGTCGAGATCAAAATCTTTCTCAAGAACGCCTATGCCTGATTGGTACACTGTAGGTCGCGCAGAATATTCGGCAAGTAGTCAGTAATTTCGAACATAAATAGCTGAAATCCATTTCATCCAATACTATACACACCGGCGCATTTATTTATTTTCACGAATAATGACTTCGTTTAGGTTGATAACGCGACAAAATTGTAAAATGTTTGCATTTTACAATTTCGGTAACACATAAAATGTGGAATCACGTTACAAAACATGGTCATCCTACGTTAGCGTGTGATGACAATGGTATGTCCAAGAAAAAATCGTCGTTGAAATTTCAATTGCATTTATTTCAAAATCGATATTTTGTGAAATAATTGTTTTTACCAGTACATAACGATGATTTGTAGGAAATTAAAACAATGAATAAAAAAATCAATACATTTTTCATCAACCAGGATCCAGGATCCTACGCTGGTCTCACCCATCTATGGCGCATACCCATCTCGAACCAGCAAGTCGATTCAGAACTTTACGATAATCGAATCGATTTGATATCGTAAGATTTCGTTCAACTCTTCGACATTTTAACCGAATCGTTCGATTGGATGTCGTTCTCGAATCGAAGGGCGCTTTCCGAGCTATTCAGAATATTCCGACTTAAACGTTCGATTCAGGGGGTCTACTCTCGATCTCCGTCCGACATCCGTCCGAAACAATTACTGCCAAATAAGCAATACTTGACTAAATGAAAAGACGCGTGATGCGAATGAAGCTTCATACTGGATACTTGTCTTTTAATTTTGTCGAATATTACTTATTTGATAGTAACTGTTTCGTACGGATGTCGGACGAAGATCGAGAGTCCCCCAGATTCGAATACGATATCGTTATCCAATAGCGTTTACGGAGTTAGTCGGTGTAATAGATTATAAGAAAAATGAAAATCCTTTTATATACATTTTTAAGGGTCGTATTCCAGAACTCTACTCAATACTCAAATCAGGACTTGAGTATTGCAGTGAGCACTGAAAATCATACTCAAGTCCTTGCCATTAGAGTCGTATTTCCAGTGCTTGAAATCATACTCAAGTCTGCTCAAATCCTGACTTGAGCATTGAGTAGAGTTCTGGAATACGACCCTTAGACTTCAAAGGTCTAAAATATAGGAGTGCATTAAAATAAAGGAGTCTTGCATTAAAATAAATTAATAAAATTGAACAAAACCCAGACTTTATATAAAATAATAAAAGATTTCCAGATTTACTTTCTTGCTTTGTACACAACAGGACGATCGATAACTTTCATTCGATGACTTTGTTCTGAATAACGTTTGTAGCCTTTGCCGGTCGAGAAGTTCGAGTAATCGTACGGATGTGACGTCATTTTGGTTCGGTTTCGAATACGACAGTTTGACATTCGATTCGGATGTTGTGAATAAAAATGAAAAGAAATCGGTCGACAGGACATCTCACATTTCTGTACACACTTTCGCTTCCGCTCGGACTGGCGACTCTCTATCTTGCAGAGTGGTCAGGTAGTTGTGCTCCGAGATCAGGTTTATATCATCTAAATACCTAGTTGTAAATTATTGCACGCGACTCAAGATGATTGACGATAGATATTTTTTTTTTTATATATTGAGTGTTCAGTGACTTTGTTGTCACAGTTAACTCTCAATAACATTAGCTAAATATAAGAAGCTTCGTATGTGCGGACAATGGCACATCAGACTACACATTTTTGTTCGAAAATCGCCTCCAGTACAACGGAACAAGATACGTCAATGTGTAGCTTGATGTGCTGGCGTGTGTACATTTACCTATAACGTATATATTGTTCTTCGAAAGAGTACTCAAGGACACCAGTGGTCGGTCTCCGGGCACGCAGAATATCCTGCACGTTGGGAAGGTAGTATGGATTGGCGATTCTTTCCAAATCGTTCAAATAGCTGAAATATATTTTATGTACTTGGTACTACTAAGTACACCCACTAATACTATCCACAATAACATCGCGAATGAAAGTTATGAATTTGCAGTTGCCAATAAATGGATTGAACGACACGGTGAATTCTTTGAACAGGCACTAAAAGAAATTATATACAAAACAAGACCAAAAGTATATCATGCATCAGACAAGCAGACAGGACCTACACATGTTGTAGTATTACCTAAATAGATACTTGTGTCTTTTTAATACACAACATTACAATTACTGCCTCTGTGGCCGAACGGTTATCATGCCGGACTGCCACGCAGAGGTTCCAGGTTCGATTCCCGGGCCGAGAGAAATATTTGTATGGCCTACGTTTATTTCTCTCGTGAGTTTGGTTGTAATTTGTGGTTGTCTTTGTGTATGTCCATGGCACCCGCGACACAGGGTTTCCCTAATGCTATGTTAAGTGTGTGCGTGCGTTATTAATTAAATAATTAATTACCAGCTAAATCTGAGGTAAAATAATGTATTATTGGGACAATTATTATTATGGCCTGCAGGTTTCACCAGAGACAACTACACATTCTATATAAATATACAGTTTCTTTTTTTAATGGGACAATATGGGGAAATCCGAAACCATAGAACATACAAGGAAACTGTCTCAGGTACCATGAAGTCTTTTTTTTGTGAAAACAATTTTGGCATCATAGTCAATTTTTTAGGCAAGTGTAAGCTGTCCATGCAAATGAATAGAACAATTTATTTTTGTGCTAATCAACTCAAGTTTCATGACTGACATGACCATTTCATTGTATGGGACCATTGACTTACAAATAAATGGACGACGGGTCTAATACAAAAACCACGAAAAAAATGTCCCAAGCCAACTTATTTAAACGTAGTGACATGTAAAGGAATATGAAAAAGCTAAAACGTTGAATTTAAATTGTAATGTCATCGCAGTACTGTCTAACTTTGCGTGCTTCGCTGTCAGTCGAACAAACGAAGACTAAAGCGTGAATGACGCTCTGTATACGATTTTAACGCCCTATAAGTTCGGATACTTTTGAGCGCGGACCCGACGTCCATATAATTGTAAGTCAATGCATGAGACGAAATAATTTTTTATGAACAACTCACGATTGATCAAAAAATGACTATGCCAACATTGTTTTCACAAAAAAAAAAACGTAATGGTTCCTAAGACTGTTCCCTTATCTTCTATGGTTTCAGATTTCCCCACACTCCCATTTAAAAAAAACACTGTATATAAAAATGAATCGCACATGTATATTTTTTTTTTTTTTTTTTAAGTAAGTAAATTATTTATTTCCTCTACAAAATTCTGCACTAAACTTACATTGAGTGAACACAATAATTAAATACAGAAGACAATTCGTAGAGGCTGGAGCGTAAACTAGGATTCCCTGTGATTTAGATCACCAGGCCTCCACCTCCAGAAAAAAAAAAATGATTAAATGCTTAAAATGAATAAATTTATACAAAGGTTTTAGAAAGAGAAAAAAGAGAAAAATTATAATAATAACATACTCTAAAAATATGAATATAACTATAACGTTTGTCTCATTAATATGCATTTCATTATTATTCATCCCATTGCGACAAAACTTATTGTGCCCACACTCGTAAAAGTTTCTGAAGTATTAGATTCTACTGCTGGGCATGGGGAAAGAGGGTTAAGGCCCAACACGTTGGCCTAATACGGGTTGGAGGCTTCAAATATTGTCGATGGCATTGCAACATTGCAAAACTAAGACGGTTAACACACAGCACCGCGCCACGCGACGGTGCGCGAGACGCGGAATCACGCGCGCGGAAACGCAGATCTGCGTCAACGCGCGGTTCAATCTGCGCAGGGCCAGCGGTCTAGCGCCCCGCGCCACTTAAATTACTCACTTCGTAGTTGATCGCAGTAGTTATTGTACATGTAGCTGAGATCCTTCTATGATTAACAATACAGAACTTAAAATATTTATTGAATAGTTTGTTATAATTATTAATACAAAGATGGAACACTCAGAAAAAAAAAATCCTTCAATCGATTTTTTCTTCCTCCGGCCGGTTCGAGGGAATTTTTTCAGAGTGTTCGATCTTTGTATTAATAAATACAGAACTCATTCAGGGCACTGCAGTTATACTGTTTATTTGGTTTTTGTTTACTCAAATAAAAAGACATCGAAGATATTGGACACCTCCCTTTTTACGAATCAGATCGATAAATGGATCATTTTAACTTCATTACAAAGATTTAAGAAAATATGAAGATTTATTTTTCAACTACACATGGATGTCGACTCAACTGAATCCTTTGATTATTTGTTAGAGAAAATCCGAACGACAATTACTGGAATAGACAAATTGATTACAAATCAGCGCGGTAGAGCGGAGCGCAGTGTGCCACACCCTGCGGTTCGCCGCAGGGGCGTGGTAAAACCGCGTGCGCTGCGATCCCGCGCGGAGAAGCGTTGTTAGTTTGTTGGATGGCGCGTTTTTCGTTATATAAATTGAGGTACTTCAGTACAACGTTAAAAAACGCAGCTCCGCACTACGTTGCGGGGCGCGATGCAGTGTGTTAAACGTCTTACTATTTAGCCGAGTCGGTAAGCTGGTACTCCCGCCTGCGATCGTAGCACTCCTGTATGCCGGAGTCACTCCATAGCGCCTTGATCGCTTCTATATACCGGCTCTCCAATGTTGTAACACTTTCAAAGTCAACTGAGGATATCAACTTCGCTTTTTCCTGGAATTCATGACATTAATATATCAATTGTATACCAATGAAATAAAAATATTTTAAATTCACTAAATGAACTACTACTATTTATTGAATAGTTTAGTATAAACACTCTGCTATAGATTATTAATTCCCAGTACTAGAAACTACTTGTGAGACTTCTAGAGTGACAAACAAGGTATGAAAAGACAACAGGATATCGTCGGAAAAAGAAACTATATTTTTTAATCTGTAACACCTGGTTACAGATTAAAAAAAAATTAAAAAAACCTGGTTACAGTCGAACTGGACAATATTATTATTTATATATGACATGTATCGGATGAGAACTTATGTTACATTCAAGTAAAGAATGATAAGAAAACATCAACTTATCTGTGATACCATTGACGTTTTTGATATTCTATCATTGTTGTAAGTAACATATTTTCAACATTATATTAGGTGTAAGATCTTTTTCTTGTCAAATAGAAAAATACACTTACTATATTGAATGGATATTCATATTGTATATTGAGTAGATCCATGGCGTGTATCATACTCTGCATCGCCATAAAGATGTTCTGGTAGACGAGCTTAATGAAGCTGCGCTTGTCATCGTCACTGTAACCCCATCCATGTATGATTCTTATTTGCTTAATAAGTGTCGATTTTCCCGACTCGCTAGTGCCTATGAACAAACAATTCATTGGTGTTTTCATAAATTCATAATAAGCTACAGAGAAGAACCAAAAAGATTTCATTTGAAGAATATAATATGAAAATAACATTATTGTTTAAACATAAGTTGACAAGTTCCATGTGCCTGTAATTATCACCAGCGTCTTTATCCTTCATAACTGGAAAACATTACTGCTTGGCGGCAGAAATAGGTTTAGGTTACTTCCCTGGACGAACTCATTCACAAGGAGCTCCATCTTTAAGTAATTAATGGATTCCGGCATTACTTTGCGGAAGTCCATGTTAATAAAAATTGAAGTAAATTAATTTGCTACTCCATGAACCCAGTGAAGGTTAAATCGTGCAAAATAGCTGCCCTTGTGTTGAATATTTTTTCATGCAGTTAATTAAGGAGTTAGTTAAGGAGCTCCTGCTACTGCAAAGTAGTAGCATGTAACTTAAGGAGTCTATATTAATGATGTTATACAGTAGTGCCTACCCTACACTGGCTGACGAACATAACCTTAGATTATGGTATGTATTGCAATCAGATAGAATTTATAGTGCAATGCGTAAAGTGTAATTGTAAATGAGTGATACAATAAACAACTTGACATAACCCTATTGCATTTGAAATTTTCTACACCTATTGAGGTAATTTCTTGGCAATTTGAGTAGTACGGATAGCTGCAGACCGCACTTTAAACAATATAAAATTTTGACTTTGTGTTGTTTGTGTTGAAGTTTGTTTGTGAATATATATAATATAATTATTAATACAAAGATCGAACACTCAGAAAAAATTCCTTCGATCCGGTCGGATTCGAACCGACGTCTTCTTGCATACCGTGCCAGACGCTATATCTAAATTGAAATTACTCCACTATATATATATATATATATTATATATATAGTGGAGTAATTTCACAAAAAATAATTGAATATCAATTCGATAAAAATTTAATTAATACAGTGAATAGCGACATCTCTCGCCAGGACAGGTAGCTGTAAAGGTACTAACTGGGTGATAAATCTGCAATAGATTTCTCATAGATGGCGCTACGACTAAAAAGGCGTTGAAAGACCAAGTACAAAGACACGACGCAAGCACATAGAAGAATTCGTGAGGTCCGTTGTTTCGTTTCGTGGCTTAGTTGGTATAGCGTCTCGCACGGTATGCAAGAAGACGTCGGTTCGAATCCGACCGGATCAAAGGAACTTTTTCTGAGTGTTCGATCTTTGTATTAATAATTATAACAAACTAGTGGAGTAATTTCACAAAAAATAATTGAATATCAATTCAATAAAAATTTAATTTATATATAATATTTTAGAAATTTGAAAATTTATTAAACAACACCCTGACTTTTACACTAACACCTGCCTCAACGACGCACTTTTAGACCATGCAATAGATCTGCGATGAATAGATCTCCCACAATCTCGGCTACACATACACAGCTCAAGTCCCCGCTCGATGTCGGTGAGGATATTCAATGAGTTCCCGCCCATTATTAAAAACAAGAAAAAGTATTCACTGTTTCTAAATAAATTAAAATTACATCTTATTAACAAATGCTATTACAATTTAAATGAATACTTTGATGACAAATAAAAATAATAATATTATAACAAATTTGAATAATAAATAAATGTTAATTATATACTATAAAGTTATCTAATTAAATTCAAACTTTCAAGTGACATAATTCTAGTCATAATAGGACATATTTCTTTATTATTATATGAATTTTTTTTTATATTATTATTTGATAAATAACAATTTTAATTAATAATTGAAACCTCGGTCTACATCTTCTGTTATTGTTATCCCTAATAAAGGACTCATATGTGTAGCATTATTTTAAATTTATGACATGTATACCATATGAATGCAATAAATATATTGAGTATTGAGTACTGAGGTATTATAAATTAACCACTGGGTGTGTGTGTTCCTTTACCAAGCTTTAAAATAATGATCAAGGAATAATGGGACAAACAATAAAATCCTCATTTGTTCAAACACATTTTAGGAACTAATTTTGTCTCACTGGGCTGTGGTACTTATAGGAAATTATTTACTGAAGCTGTTCTTTTATAAAAAAGATATTTCACAAATATCTCACCGAGCAGGAGCGATGTGACTGCTTGCCGTCTCAGTCGTTTCAGTAGCGGTAATTTCCGTTCTATCTCTTGGTTGATTCTTTTCTGTTCTTTGACTTCTTCTGTCATGCAGCAGTACATGTTCACTTGGAGCGGGCGCCCGTATTCCGACCTCGCGCATGAAGTTTTCGCTACGGAAACACTCTAGTATTTGAGCCATAGAGCTTATTGTTTAGTACGTCCATGATTTGAGCCGACCATAGAAGATCATCCTCATCATCCATTTTATTCAGAACCTAAATATCAAAGTTACGTACTGGGTACGGAGGTCTTATTGAATTGGACGACACGAGGCCCATGGCGTTTGACACAAAAAACAGATTAAAAATTAAATATGTCTAACTATTTAATAAAGAATCAGCAACTGTTGGAATGAAATTATGTAAATTATTTAAAATGCATAATAAATTGACGTTTTAAATTTATTGTTATAATAAGTTTTTTTAGTAGTTAAACCTTTATACATTTTACATTAAAAAAATCTAATTTTGAGACCATAATCACGATGCAGAAAGGATGATAGTCCGAATCGACATAAAAAAAATTAGATCGTTAATTTTCTTTTCTAGAATTCTGAGTTTTTCTTTTCGCTTTGCGATGGGAAAATTTACTGACATTTTCTAATAAAACTTTTATTATTTGTTGCAGAAACAATCACCGACCAGCTTGTTGGCGTGGGACTTCTGCAATTTCAAGTTATTGGTCTGTACTTTGTTTGTTTTGTTTCTTTTTGTGTTTTCAGAGATATGTCTCGTGTTCTCAGGTGCCTCGTCGACATTCACATCGGAGACAGCAAACCTGTGCCGGTGGCCTCGCAGAGTAGATCTGGAACGAGTATGGATAGACCTCCTAAGGTTTCACAGCTCAAGATTAACAACGTCGCTTACGCACAGGAACCGCATTCATAGGCATGCCTATGTGAGTTATTTTACACAGCAAATATCTTTCTAATTTGTGCACAGCAAAAGCGACCTCGGTGGCTGAACGATTACCTGCAAGCCCAAAGGTTATTATAATCAACGAATGCATTAAAACGGCATTCTTCTATGGAGATCTTATAGATAGATTTTTAATGATAATCGTAGCACACTCAAAATGGTAGAGAATTAATGTTTTAGAACCAAACAACGTACCTTAGCTTTCAACATACTTTAAGACAACTACACACATCAAAAGTGTCTAGGGATCAAGTGAATATTTTTGAAATAAAAATTATTTAAGCAATATTTACCAAATCCAGTCTTCCAGGACGACTTCTTACTTTAATGCTTATGTTTTATTTAACCGCGTCAATTAAATGACAAAAAAATGGCGAAAATGATGATTTTGCTCATTTTTATTGGAAAGATAAGAAAATAAATAATCTGTATTTCCACCTAATGGTGGAAATAAATACACGAATCACACAATTACAGCGATTTGGCATGCTTAAGATGAGTTCATCAAAATCACTTTGAGGAATGGCCGCCCACGTGTTTTGTAACAAGTCAAAATATTGTTGTAGAGTATGTACGGTATGCATACTCGGCACAGCTCTTCTTTGAAGCATATCCCATGCGTGCTCAATTGGATTGAGGTCTGGCGATTGAGCAGGCCACGGCAGAACGTTGATACGAGCTTCGGCAAGAATGCGTGTTACGACTCTAGCCGTGTGTGGACGTGCGTTGTCATGCATTAGTTGAAATGAATCACCCAACTGGCCTCGCAAAGGGATGATAACATCTGAAACAATCCTTTCTGCGTAAACTTGAGCATTGAGGTTACCCCTGATCCAAATGAGATCGGTTCTTTCGCCAATCCAAATACCGGCCCATATCATTATTGTTCCCCCACCATATGGATGAACTTCCTGACCATATCTCAAACGTTCATGACGTCCAGATGTTCTCCAAACTCGAGTACGTCTTGTATCCGGTCTCATACCGAAGCGGGATTCATCCGAAAAGCACACATAGCGCCAGTATTCTTCCTCCCAGTTTCTATGTTCGCGAGCCCATCGTAAACGGGTCCTGCGATTGCAGGGTGCAATAGGTGGAACTCTGAGCGGCTTTCGGGATCGCAGACCCACTTCACGTAAACGATTTCGGATTGTTTGATCGCTTATTAGCAAGCCTGAGGAGCTGTGGAGCCTCGTAACCAACATCATGGCGGTCATGGTACGATTCCGTCGAGCAGTATTTTGGATATACCGGTCCTGTCTGCGGGTCGTGATGCGAGATCGTCCTCCATGTCGCTCGGCCACGCTGCCCGTCATGCGATAGCGCGTCCAGAGGCGACTTATGACGCTCTGTGTAGTGTTAAGAGTGAAAGCCACAGCACGTTGCCTGGAACCAGCTTTCAACATTCCGACGGCTCGCATCATCACTTCTCGGGTTAAATGATGTCGTCTCTCCATAATAATGTAAATTGTTTCGGTTCCGATGCAGATATTGTAATGATTTTGTCAAAACGCTATAACTCATTTTTATACAAAACCACATTGACAATCGATTTTCTTCTTATTATCGAATTTTAAACAATATTCCTTATTTAAATGTTAAAACTCACTAAAAAATATCAATAGCGATACAAAAAAGTTAATATAATTAACCCTAATTGCAGCAATACTCTTAAACGTACTTGATCCCTAGACATTTTGATGTGTGTATTTGTACCATTGCCTAATAATAGAGTTTCAAAAAACTAATCCCTACTTCAAGACTCCTAATATTCTCGATGATTCTAAGGAAGTAACACGTAAGTGCCTCAAAAAACTTGAAGCCTTAAAAAAACATCAGAGATAAACATATACTTGAAATGTTAAATTGTATTAAAAGGCATTCAATATTTGTAATTTGAAATGTAAGCACTACATCCACAAAATTTATTAAATTTCTGGTTTGCAAACTTAACTTTGAGGATAAATTTATCAAAGACGATAAAAGAGTGCCTTTCTCATGGCCTACATTATTCTAAGAAGTGGAAATAGCATGTCGAAAACCCACTTGTCTTGTAACTGTTTGTAAGTATTCAGTGGTTTGGTGGCTACAGATACTTATACATTTATTATATTAATAAGATATTACTTATAAGTTATTTTTCTTATATTTTAGCTGTTCGAACAGTGGGAGATCATACTTATGCTGTACCACTGCAGATAAATGCAGAGTTGGTGACCCGGAAATGAAAAATTACCACAGAACACAGACCACACACACAATATTCATCATATCGACTGACAAAAATAAAAGTGATGTTACTTAGTTTAATATGCTCGATGGTTTAACACGACAATGTGACATGATAATGTGATTGTTCGGTGTTTTCAAGGATTTAGTGACACTTTATCTATGTACTTTTCCGCATTTAATATGTAATAATTTTGTTGGTGTATCATCGAATTTTGCATAAACGATTTTTATAATTACTACTATGAGTTCGAATACTTAAAAAAAATATTATTATGTTTACTTCACTACAAATCTTTTGATATATAATTATATATTTTCTTGTTGTTTCTAATGTTAGAAGATGCGAATAGAATGATAAATCTGAAAAAGTCGCCACTAGAATTTAAGTTGCAAATTAAAGTAATAATTAATTGGACTTTGTGTTTAGTCGGTAGATGTGTTACTATAAACGAATGATGTTGGTTTTTAACTTGTACTCTAATCCGCCGAGAGACATTTCGTTTAATAATTGTGTTTTGTTATCATTCATTAATTGTTAGATTCAAAAGATGTGTTGCTGGGAGTTTCTTTCGCCATTTAACACCTTTACGAAACGGTAGTAGCTTTCGTTATTAATAAACAGATATAACTAAAAATATAATATTTTATTTTAAACCACAAAACATTAGCAATATGAACAAGTAATTAGGACCGATGAAACCGTACTTTTTACCGTAAAAGTGCGATACAGGACATCACTAATAGCAATCAATCCATAAAGGTCTGAGGCGCATCACTATTCGGTACACTAGCGCCACCAGCGTGCTGTCACGGGGCACGGAACTACCTCTACCAACGTTCCGTTATAGGGCCTGTTTCCTATCTGTTCCTAATGTATCTTTCTAATTTGTGGTCCTTTCGACAGGTCTTTATTCCCAAAAACCACATCCAATATACCATAACCACACGCAAAATAAGGTCTACGATGTCGAGTTGCGGATACCAGCTCATTACACCACTCCTTACTATTATAGTCCAAACCAAACACATACTGTATCACAGCCCAAACGCGAACAATTTCATTTTAGTTTCGAATGAAAGAAGTCCGAATTGTTATTTTATTTACTCAAAATCAAAATAAACACCGACACCAAAAATCAGAAAGATAGTATTGCCAGGTCAAATCTAAGAAGATGTTGACTGCAAAAACAGTAGATTGAGGAAAAAAACGGTAAAGCTGAACTTACCTTCAAACACTTTTATATAGAGTTTCTTCAAACATTGATTGGTCATTTTCATTTTTACATTACTGGCCAAAGTAAAAGCGTGTGATGATTTTGATTGTTTTGATATTATCTTTGAAAACTGAAAATAAAACTGTATTTTTATTACCTTCGGGAATCCCAATGTTGTGTTTGACATCTGACATTCACTATTTTGGGTTAGAATGTTAGAATAGTAGACCTGGCAACACTGCAGACACAACCGCCATCACTTCACGCAATAAAAAAAACCGCCATCACTAAGTAGAGGTGGGCGTTTAAACGAAAAGCACTTATAAAAGTCTGCTTTTTTCAATAAGTGAAAAAGCGTTTAAAAAAGCGTAACGTTTAAACGTTTAAAAAAATAAGCAGTTTTTCCCATTCTATCACTAAGTAGTCTGTGCAATCAGCAGGCATTTGCGATCAGTCGTTATCTCATTGTGAGTGTGTTCTGTGATCTATTAAGTCAATGGTTGCACGATTATTGCTGTGTAAACTAAACTAAATAGACTAATTTACAATATTGCTTTTTGTATAGTTGCTGAAAAACAGCCCAGGTTTTAAGGCACCGAAACTTCATATACCTACATTTTGTACTGTGTTGGTCTACCTAACCTAATATCGCTTAAAACATGTACGCCAGTCATAATTTTGGTTTTCAACTGAATCCCTGTAATCAAAACTTGAAAATTACCCAGCGGTGTAACGACGTGCTGCGCCGCCCGCTCCCGCTGCCCCGTCAGTTGCCATCGGGCGCTTGTCAACGTTGAATCTGCGTCAAACTCTCATCCCATTCTTATTTTTTCATATTAATTTTAAGGGGACAGCACTACACCTCACATCCTAAAATCTAGGCTTGCGTTCATATACCTCGCCTCAAAGTTTTGTGTATGACACAGGCTTAGCCAATTTCATTTTCCATTGTAAATTAGAGTGGCAATAGTTACTTTAATTTTAAAGATGTATAATGAAATAGGGGCGCGAACGATTAATCGACCTTGCGAATAAAATTGTAAACAAAGGTGCCATAATAAAAAACATTGTGCAAATGCAAAATAAATTCGTCGAGAAAAGGTTCACCAATCGTGTTTTTGTTTTACCATAATGTTGATTAATCGTTCCCATTACTGAAAAATTACCCAGCGGTGTAACGACATGCTGCGCCGCCCGTTCCCGCTGCCCCGTCGGTTGCCATCGGGCGCATGTCAACGTCGGATCTATGTCAAATTCTCCTCCCTTTCTTTCATTTTTTTTATTGTCGTGTCTTTGTATTTGGTTTTTCAACGACTTTTTAGTCGTAGCGCCATCTATGAAAGTTTAATCGTCCAGTTACCAATACCTTTACATCTACCAGAGCTGATTTTTCGTTGAAAAACCAAATAAATACAAGGACACGACTACAAGTACATACAAAAATTCGTGAGGTTCGCTTGTTCCTTCCGTGGCTTAGTTGGTATAGTGACTGGTACGATATGCTAGAAAACGTCGGTTCGAATCCGGCCGGATCGAAAGATTTTTTTCTGAGTGTTCGATCTTTGTATTAATAATTATTACATATTGAAATTAAATATTATGTAAGTACTTACATGCAGTCCATCTGTTGGCAATGGTTAGAAACCATAAGGTCTAGAGGGTGTCGTCGATGTCGGTACGTGACCATCAGGGTCTGCAATTTGCATAGGCGTTCCTCAAGGTTCAATTCCAGGTTCATTTTTTTTTTTTACTTTATATTAATGACTCATCAAACCTCGTTACTATATCTGCTACGTTCGACGTTTCGGGCCCTTTACAGGTCCCATGGTCACGGTTGACTGAGGTGGTACAGTCTTCAACCAGTTATGTCTAATATTTTTTCACTATAGGTACAATAGTTATTTTTTATTAAATACCTTATTTTTAATTTTACAATAAAAAACATTCCAATTTACGCTACATTAAGTTTTACAAATTATTTTATTGAATGAATTTGTATTAAGTTCAATTTATTATTAATTAATAATAGAAATTAGAATAAACTAAAACATATGAATTAGTACTGCAGTCTTACATATGTCTCTTATGCCTTAGGGGCCTACATGATATTGAGTCGTAGTTGAATAACAAATATCATCAATACGATGGAGTTGTGAATTAAAAATATTTAAGCAGTTGTATTTACGTTCTGATGGGAATTTCGCATTGAAGACTAGAAACACACGACACAAGTTTATTGAATAAGTATATAAGAACTACAATATTTTATGGAATAAAACGCAAATTTTGCAAGGTTAGGTACTACTAATTTTGCAGTCACACGCTATACACACTACTACTTTATAAAACTGCAATATTTTGCTCAATGTGTTGTTGTAGGTATATATTTATCGTGTATTCTACATAATGTATAAAAAAACACGGCGCAGCTAAAATAACAATTAAAATTCAAAGTGCTATAAATCTAAGTACTTTCTATGTTATTCTTCATAATATCTCTGCCACAAACATATTCCACTAAAAAGAAAATGCTGGCCATAATCCAGCCAAAAAATAGAACAGCAAAAGATCCGGTGAAATGCTGCAGGCGGAGAGGTACAGGGATTCGAGACTGTTCTTGGTGGGTTAAGATTCTCGCATGTTTAACATAACGTTTATACAGTTGTTGAGAAAACCCTCCCTCCATTATGACTGTGAGAAGTCGACTTACAGAATATGCAAAGTTGGAATTCTTTTTGAAAAACATCACGATCGGGATATTTGCGATTTTTTCAGGTATTATCTGCGCTTGCTTTCTGCCGTTATATTGGAGCAAATACTCAATCGCATACTCCCTGCTCAAAGCTAGCACGAAATCGGAGCTCCCATCCGTTATCCTATGCAATTGTTCACGTGCTTTATCATACATAAGCGGTTTCCAGTGATCATACACTTTGGGGTCGTCCGTATAATATTCTCTCAAACTCGGCAGACCACCAAAGGGATAATCGTTTTTTAAAACATCTTGAAAGTTCTTAAGATTATCTTCTGTAACTCGAACTTTAAGTGAGCCAATAAGTACACCTTGATACACGCTTCTAAAGATCACGCAAAACCAGATCCATGTGCAAAAGAGAGTGCGAAAGGCCACTCTAGTAGGGACTCTTGTAACAGGCATACCGAGAAACAATGTCCAGGAATAAAAAAGCAGATTCGATTTCAGCGGAGCAACTTCGAAAACCTTTCGTAGCATGTTCCAAATCTTCGATCTTATAAATGTGTTCAATACGACAATACCAATAAACATGAAAAATAATGCAATTCTTATATAAACATCCAAGGGGCGCAAAAGCTTTTCCCACGACGGTCTTAGTTTGGATATCGCTGCGATCCAGACTAAGTCTAAAGAGTCGTAACAGAAGGAAATTCGGAAATCACTATATTTGCTGGAGGTCAGGGGAGAAGAGCACATAGAAGCATGAGCTTTGTTGTTGAATACATGACCTAGAGATCCAGTCCAGGTTTTATTTTCAAAGCGTCCCCAGTCGTTACCTTCAGCCGGAGTCAGTATTACAAGAGTCGCGTTTAGCATGCTTACCACAAGTCTCAAGATATTCCCATCTGACCCGCTAATCTCTCTGGTGCCATCTGATTTATTTGTGAAAATCATGAACGGGGCTTGTTCCATAGTTGAGACGATAAACTTGCACTTATATAGATTGTAGAACTTTTCTGGGAATTGTGACTTGTAGCATTGGTCGTAAGGGCACCCAAACTGTACAGTAAGACTCACTGGTTCATGGTGCCAACATTTATCCGGCAAAAATGGATAATAAGTGTACGCCGCGGGGTCATTTCCGTCACGTAGCTTTAAATAAATCACGTTTGATATAAACAGGCGAGCCAACGTTTCAAATAATTGATTTTCATCACAATCTTCAAGGTCCGGGGAAGTACAGACGAGTATGTACTTTGCACTACAATCATATTTATTATCCACGAGAAATTGTAAGAAATCCGTTAATTCGCCGATGTCATCTCCATATATGACAAACTGCGGTACTTGCGAATTGCGGTAACATGGAGGAGGTAAGTACTTATTTTTTCTAATGATTACTGACTTATTATACTCCGTCAAAAACGTTTTAAGATGAAATGAACTCAGCAGGTTAAACAATACGATGGTGTCAAACCGCCATTCGTAATTGTATTGAGCAATTTTAGCTGCCATTACACTTAATTTAGGAACATTGGAGTTAATATTTGTGAATAATATTTCAGATATATTAGTAGAAACCATGTTTACTCCTTGATAGTAAACAATATTTACATATCAAAGTAATCAGTGTAAGTTAAAACAATTTTAATTAACTAAGTGCAAGGCTGATTACTTTTTCGCATGATGAACTTGCGATGAAATCTTCATAAATGTAACATAATGGCTAACGATTAGTTAATCGTACTGAACATTTATGATTTTTCAAATATTTTTTTAGGTCTTTGATTTGTAATACCAATTTTAACTTACGAATAAATAAGATTAAACAACCTATTTATTCGTAGATAATTGATTGATTCTATCCATTCGCCAAAATATATTTCACACGCGAAAAGAACAAACGATACCCACAGCCTATTATACAGTGTGTTAATTTGCATTCTCGCTGTATTTAAGACATTAATAACAGAAATAATGCTAAATCATCTAAAAATATTTAAAAATATATTCTGTTCAATATTCTGGCTAATTGTATTTAGTAAAGTTTTGCAAAATTGTCTCAAGTCATATGCACCACGCAAGGGCAGTGACCCGTGGGATGGGGATTTCGTGACAGACTAGAATAGAATGTATGACATCCCGTCAGCGTGACGTAGACGCAGTTATGGGAAGCAATGTGGTCTGCGGGAAGCAAGGTCGACTGATCTACCAATCGCGCGCTCGATACGACACTCCCCCGCCGTCGCTACCCACACCCCATCACCAAATAGATCTAAAATGAGTTTTTTTTCTGCGCATTTAATTGTTCAAAATGTTTGCGAGTGCCGTGCGCCTTTGGATCAAATTAGTTTACCGCAATTAAATAAAAAATAGGAATTTACGAAATTTTTATTTTTATTTATTGTTTTAGTGATTTGGGTTCAGTTTCGGATATAGAGTGACCTCTGTAAATATGGCGAGAAAGCAAATCAACACATTGTATTTTTTTTAATTTTTTTTTTATATATATAATAGACACACGCTTGGCCACAATCTCACCTGATGTTAAGCGACGATGTGACCGACGATGGGACGCGTTTGCCTAAAAAATGCCTATTCACTCTAGCCTTGAATAGCCCCAAATTGTACTTTTCGGGAAATACAGATGCCGGTAGAGCATTCCATTCCTTTGCCGTACGCATCAGAAAGGAGGAAGCAAAGCGCTTAGTGCGAATAGGTGGAATATCAACGACATAAGAATGGAGTGCTCCGGACCTTCTAGTCGACCGAAGGAGGAACGGTGAGGGCGGAACCAAATTGAAAAGTTCCTGCGCACACTCCCCGAAATGTATCCGATAGAAAACCGACAAGCAGGCTACTTTTCTGCGATGATCGAGATTTTGGAGCTTCGACTCCACAAGAGGATTATTGTTAATAAGTCTCTTTGCTTTACGCTCCACCGAGTCCAAGGCAGCTAACTGGTATTGGACAGAGCCGTCCCAAAGGTGGCAGCAGTACTCCATACAGGATCGAACTTGTGCTTTATATAGATTTAAAAGCTGTTCAGGTGTGAAGTACCGCCTGACCTTGAAAAGTATGCCTAGTTTTCTGGCAGCAGTTTTTGCCAAGCACTCGATGTATCGCCCAAAGTTGAGGTTGGATGATAAGTCCAGACCAAGTAGCTCAAGGTGGTCCCTTATCGGCACGGATACACCTCGGAAAGTCGGAGTAAGGTGTAGGGGACTCCGTTTTGATGAGAAAAGACACGCCTGTGTTTTAGCCGCATTAAACCTGACCCTGTTAGCATCTCCCCAGTCGGAAGCAGCTTTCAGACTCAGGTTGAACCGGGTGACCATCGCCTCGTATAAAAAGAATAACAACGTTTACCTACTAACAATGTTCTAAAGTCATAGTATGGGATTCAAATGGACGGAGGGGATTTGTTTAGTGATCCTTGTTGATGGGGACGTTTCAGTGGTCATCCTTAAATTTATTCGTCAATTCAGAACACGATTGACATGCTTCACAATTCATGTTTCAGGATTCTTTGTAGCCATGTCATCTATTTATGCTTAAATATGTACTTGCAAATGCAATTTTATCCATTTTTCTGAATTAAGCCTATGTACAAATGATGTGTACTTATTATTTACACATATTATATATATTTACAAATAAGTGCTATATTCGTAATGCGCACCCCCAAATATCTCGAAAACGATACCCAACTTGCCATTATTTGAGAAATCGTGCCCGCCATCTTGCATTTAGAAAACTCGTGTTAGTCATCATGTATTCATAATAAATGCCATTTCCATAAGGATTACCAAAAAATTTTTTTTTTTAATTCTTGGCAACCATCTTGGATTTAGAAATTAATGCCACATTCTCAATAAGCACTCCCAAACAACACAAAAACGTCTATAATTCTCGTTGTCGATCCACAATGTCGATTATATTAATACGTTCTGGTGTTCTTTTCAATGTTTTTTTTCTTCAGTTTTAACAAAATAAGTGAAAGTAACGTTTCTTCGTCAGAATCCATCGTGTAACTGAGTCGAAAGATAAAACATCACTAAACTAATTTGGTCGCACTTCAGCAGCGCGACAGTCGCGCGGCCGCCGCGCGGTTGCAGCGCGACTGCCGCGCGGCTGCAGCGCCGCTAATTTGAACGCGCCGTAATTCCTGCACATACGAAACAACGGATCATTGTACGACACGTTGTATGTCGTAAGTGGCATATAAAAACGATTTTGCGTGCAGTGTCTTCCAATCATAATCCCAACCTGATCTAACCATTCACTTTAATATAAGGGCAAAGCCAAGTCTTCAGTATGAAATATATATTGTAAGCTGTACACCCCTCTCGGCTGTGCACCGTCCTTCGCCACGTTATAAAAGCAGAACAGATCCAGAGCGAGGTATTTGCTAGTCGACGCCCGCTCGGATATCATCGGTGACGTGAGCCATTTGTTAACTATTTTCTTATGTAAGATACTTCGTTCGTTTAGGCTTAAGAAATCAAATTTGTAAATTTAATAAAAGTTCGTTAAAATTTTGTTAGATGTTCTCTTTTTTTTTAATTTCGAATCCTTTTTATATAGTCATATTGCATTTTTTGAAAAATCGTGACCGCCATCTTGGACTTACAAACAAGTGATATATTCGTAATGAGCACCCCCAAATACCTCGAAAACAATACTCAACTTGCCAGCAACAACACCAGCGGTAGTGGCCCGAGCCTCGTGCTCCGTGGTCCCCGCTCAGACACCTGACTCTGCATCGCAGAACCCAACGCACTGCTGTCACAATAGTGTTATAACTCAAAATATGTGAAATGCAAGATTATACCATTATTGAACGTAAAATGTGATTCTCTACACGTCAATAAAACTGTCTTTGAAATATTGTAAGAAACAACTAAAAGATATCTACTTAACTCAAAATGAGACACGCTTTATGTGAGCTAGTTCTGGCCAAAATAGCCTTTATTCAAAAATATAAAATTATTTTTTTATTTTTAAATATATTAGGCGAGTAGGAAATTGTTTGTAATGAACTGTAACCTGTATATACATTTTAATTATCTTTCACGGGATACGAGCAATAAGCTACTTGACTCATATCAAATTTAGCACAATAAATGAGTATTTCCTGCAGTATTTGACCTACGCAACCAAAATATATCGATTTCAGTTAATTAAAGCCAAGGATGGATCTCAAGGATCGCATTTAAAAAATATTATTTTTATTTATTTATTGGATCGCTGAAAACGCTGTCGGCCATGTTGTGACGTCACTGTGCATATAAACAAACTAATGTCACTCTGACAAATCTGACATAATCTGTGCTCATAGATTTGTTGTAGTTGTGATCGTGAAATTTTTGTAAAGCTTTCGTAATAAGTCCCATAATCTACGTGTTACTGTTACTGTTTTCTCATTTAATTGATAAAAACAATCATGGATGCTGGATTTGTGAAAGCGGAAAGTACAAATTTGCCAAGAATCGACACTTTAATGGTCGGTAATTTTTTTGCCTTGAACCCAGATTTCTGCTCTGCCGAGCTGAGGAATGTCAAGACTTCTATGTAAGTACTGTAAAGGTTTCACTGTAGGTTAAAACTTTTGTGCTTATTCATCGCGCGAATAGAAGTTTAAAAGCAACAAGTTAAGGCCGGGGAAAAATAGTGTTTTGTCTTGCTTTACACCTTTTCGCCCTCGGTCGGTCGCTACAGTGCAGTGCATTTGGTATTGCAATGTAATGTAACGACATAAGATGGAATAAGCATAAATAATTCGTACAAAACTATCTCATAACCTCTTACTGCTTGTAACTAATATTATATTTGTTACTTACAGATCTGCAAGGGAGTCGTATGGCGATGATGCCATAGGTTACGTTCAAGTTAAACGTGATGATGAAATCTGCACTGTGAAATGTAAAATATGTCCAGAGCACAAGGTACGCTTGAAGCAATATACAGTGACAGTACTGGTTGATGAACAAGAAGAAAAAGTTAAGAGTGCTCTCTGTGAAGATTGTCCTGCAGCTGCTGGAGGCTGTAAACATGCTGTTGCATTTTTAATGTGGTTGCACCGTCGCACTGAAGAGCCTGCTTGCACATCGGTTGAGTGCTATTGGAAAAAATCCAATCTCGCCAAAGTTGGATCAACATTCAAAATAATAAATGCAAAAGATATGTCCAAACGAAAATATCAGGATCCTGTATCTAATACAAGCGTGTTAATAGAATTTATGGATGAATGTAAGAAGAGAAAAATTGAAACTTGTCAGTTTTTAAAGCATACTGAAGATTTTACCGACAACAAATCAGTTTTATCATTGCATTACCTATTATATACATTTAAAGAACCTAACTGTGAAAGTTTTTTAACAAAAATTAAAAAAAATTTCAATGATGAAAACTTAAGAAATGCAGAAATGCAATCTAGACACCAATACAAAAGTGGTCTTTGGTTTGAGCTACGTTATGGGAGAATAACAGCATCTAAGTGTTATGAAGTAAGCAGGTGCAAGACAGTAGATGGTTCTCTGGTTGCAGTGATTTTTGGAGCCAGGTCTGTGCAGACACCAGCAATAAAACGTGGCCAGAGGTTAGAAGACAAAGTAAGAGAGATTGCAGAACAAAAATTAGGTGTTAAGTTTACAAAATGTGGCCTCTTTATTTCTAATGAGTATCCGATGATTGCTGGATCACCAGATGGCATTAATAGTCAAAAAGGACTCATTGAAATTAAATGCCCGTCTACAGCAAAAAATGTTGAAAATTACATTAAAGATGGTAAATTAACTAAAAAATGTTTTGCTCAAGTACAAATTCAAATGTTTTGTGCAAAAGTGAATCAAAGTTATTTTTGTGTCGCCAGCAGTGATTTTGAACATACTAAAAATGTTACAATATTACCTGTTTCCTATAATGATAAATATGTTAAAGAACTGATTGGACAGGTAGTTTCATTTTGGAAACTAAATATTTTCCCTAAGTTGTATGAAAGTGTTACTATGTAAAATATGTAAATAAAATGCATTCAATGATATCTTAGTTACGTTCCCTAAAATATGGTTGAGCGAAGCAATGGCTGATTCATGTGTCATACTCGTGAACTGGTGCCGCCTGTGGAGGCTTGTCGGCTCATGCATACTCACCTTATTTTTAGTATTATTTACTATAGTTTCACTTTTCACTTTGTCTTTCTTTAAGTTATTCTAGAGTACTGTAGTGGAATTACTGTATGACATTGTAAAAAAATATTTTTTAACCTGATGTAAATATGTTAACACTTTTTTTTTTACTTGTGTTTTTCTTTACATTTTGAGTGGTTGTCTTTATATTCTATGTTTTTTTTGTAATGGAAAGTGTCCTGTTATGATAGGGCATTTTCCAATATTTTTGATGCTGTAAGGGATAAAAGAGCTTGACACTTGCTGAGTTTCTTGCCGGTTCTTCTCCTGCCCAGAGTAGACTTACGAACCGATGGCATAGTGACATTCATAAGAGCTACTGTAGCCTAAACTGGATAAATGATTTTGTATTCTTGTATTCATGTCGTATGGCATCTTACTGTGGGGTACAGCAGCTGATGTTGAAACTATATTTATATTACAGAAACAAGCAACAAGTACCATCTATAGACTAGGTTCAAGGAAATTGGTATTCTTACAGTTGCATCTAAATTTATTTATATTTTTTTATTGCTTTATGTGTATAACATTGCTAGTATTGAATTTAGTATGTAATGTAATTTTTACAAACTTAGTTTTATTAGTATGTTGTGATTATCCTTTTTTTATTTTTTGTGTGTTTATTTTGTAATGGAAAGTGTTCTTTTATGATAGTAAATAGAAATAGAAATAATCTTTATTTGGTATTATTTACACATACAAAATAGGACATTTTCCAATATTTTTGACCCTGTAAGGGAGAAAAGAGCTGGACACTTGCTGAGTTTCTTGCCGGTTCTTCTCAGTACAAGATCTCCTGCCCAGAGTAGACTTACGAACCGATGGCATAATGAGGTTCACAAGAGCTATTATGTAGCCTAAACTGAATAAAATAATTTTGAATTTTGAATCATGATATTTTATTTGATAAGTGAGTCTTTGAGTTTATGAGAGCACAGGCTGTGATTACACAGAAATCTAGTATATGTAATAAATTTAAATTAACTACCGAGTGTGGCTTCAGAATTGAAAACTCGCGAATTCTTCTAATCACTCTTTCCACATGAATTCGGAGGCTAGCAATTTCTTTTGTTTGTTTACTTTCACTTTTGGTCTGAAATGAAAGATCTTGGTTCCAAACTATCGAGAAATTTACAGTGTTCAAGTAAATTAACGTCACTGATTCTGCCTCCATATCCATTAGACACAAAGCTGACTAATCCATCAGGTGTACATGATATGAGGTATTTATAGGTATTAGCTTTTTTATACTCTGACCAAGTCAGTGCCTGATGAGTAGCTTTTTTTGGCTTTTGAATCTCTATTTTTAAACAATCTATAATACAATTTACCTTATTATATTTATGGCGAAATGCTATGGGCAAGTTTTTTTTAATTGTGCTTTTAGTGAATGTTTTTATGAAAGGCAATAAAACATTAACAATGGAAGGTAATTTACTGTAAAAGATTTTACTTGCTTGAGACAGTGAAATATCAAAATCATCTGCTAACTGAGAAAAGGTTCTATTTAATCTTATTTTCACTAAGCATAATAAAATATGATTCTCTGATTGTTGTGTGTGTTTTGAAATAATATCAACTATAAAATAAAGCTCTGCTGGTATCCCAATATACATTCTAGGATTTTTCTTTATCTTAGATAGGGTACTCTGTAAATTTAATTTCTGGTCTTTTATAATCTTTTCCTGTGAACTGTCTTCAGTAGTTTGACTTGATGGTTTTGACGGAGATGAGTCAAAGGTTGATCCTTCTTGAGATAATGTATAAGATACATCACTGTCATATTTTTCCTCAGCAAAAATTAGCTTTCTTCTTGTTGACGAATGACCAGACATAGACGGCTTATTAGGTGATGTTGAAGTTGATTGATGAGCAAACAGTTGTATTGGTGATGATACAGTATCTTTCACAGCCACATTGAATTGCACTTGTTTACTTCTATAATGTTTTGCAACACATGCTTGAATCAATTTGTGAGCACGATGTTGTACTACTTGACAAGATACATGTTCATGTAATGGTTGAACTTGTACTGCTTGATCACAGAACTGAATGTTATGCTGTACTACTTGCACTGCCTTGTCATGAAACTCCTTCTCATGAGAAGTACACGTAGGTATGGCATCTTCTTCACTGAGTAACTCTGAAAACAATTAATATAGTTGTTTAAACAAATTTTATGATCCACTCGCAAAGAGCTATTTATTGCTTTATTAAAACATACTCATATTACCTTTATGAAACAATGATATTGGCATTTCTATGGACTGGATTTGTATATCTCCTGATACAGGCACCAATGCTGTTCTCTTGGAAGCATGCTGTTGCATTGCATGCTCATCTGTTGGTGGAGTAGGTTTGCGCTTTCTAGCTGTTTGGCAGTCAAATCTGGAGGGTATGCAACTGGGCTTCATTCGGATCCTTTTAACAGAACCCATTATTTTATACCGCGTGTAATTTTCCATGTCATTTTCTAACTGAAAGGTAAATAACAACAAAATTAGTATTTTGTTCATTGACTTGGTACATAACCATAAAACTTGTATTTTTTAAACTAAATATAAAGTTTCTGTAGAAACTGATTAAGATATTAAGTAAGTACTTACGTCAAAGTGATCTTCGCAAAAATAAATGTTACTTTCAGTCGAAAATGAATCTGGTTCCTTATTAGCAAGTTTTAGCCAGGTGTTTCGCATGTTTATTTCCTTGGGTACGCTAATCCATAACTTTCCTGGGGTCTTTATTGATGTGTTTTTGCATTCTCGTACAATACAATAACGATAATTACTATACTTTTCGTATAAACTAGTGGAGTCATGGTTTTTAATAAAAACTTAGTGCTAACACAACGGTGAATGTTTGTCAGAGGTCAAATGATTGTTTATGTGCACAATGACGTCACAGCACAGATAATCTATAGACTAATATGGCCGACAGCGTTTTCGCCTGTGTATGAAAAGTAAAATCATTAAATTAAGTTTTGCGGTTACCTAGGTCTCAAAAAAATATGGTAACATTTTTTTTGCTTTAATTGAACAATTCTTAATCATTTTAGACCTACTTCAAAAAAGAGTCAACTAGCCTATTCGTTTTTCGTCGAATATGAGAAAAAACACTTTTCGTGTTAATACACTATTGTATTAATAGTGCGAAATTATTATGTTACATTAAGATGCTGTTTTTATGTATAAAAAACTTAATAATTAAATATTTTTTAACATACGAAAATAGTATACAAATATAAAATAATTTAATTATGTCCGTTTGTATCATTGAATATGAGTTACTCCACTATTGCGCTGATAGCCTTAAATGTCGGAGTAATCGCGTAACATACACAAAAACACAAACGAATTGAGAACATCTTCCTTTTTCTGAAGACGGCTAAAAATTCGCGTAATCATGGCAGACTTCTCAAAGGATTGAAACACTAGCCTTCAGGTTCGCCCATATACTTTTGATTTTCGAGGCGTCAAAATATAAAAATTAAAAAGTAACAGACCCAAAATGGAACCCTGAGGCAGTTCTCTCCTCACAAGGCGTAAAGGAGGACAGGAACCATATCAAACCATTGAATCCTTTCATAGTAAAATATAATAAGATCTCTTGGACAAGACAAAAGTAGTCTGAAGAATAATAAGTAGTACCATGTCAATGGTCTTATGGTCAATATATACCTTTTGCAATAGTTATTATAAGTCAATATTCTAGCGATTTCGGTGGTTATAATAGCATCGGGGTTAGAAAAAATGCAAGGGCAAGTCAAAGTTGCCTGTCAGGTACAAGAACACGTTTCAAATTTTTCCACATGATCGTGGTGTCGGCATCTATCGGTCGGTACGTCATGTGAATGCAAGCTTGCTTCCAAATTGTTCAATTATGCTGGCGGGATGATATCACACAGATTATCTTCGGGGTGTACGTAGAGCCGACAATTCTTTACTCGTCGAATGCTATGCTCATAAAAATAACGTTCGTTACTTTACAAAGCAAAACATGCCCATATTTTCGGATTCGCAAATCGTCGAATGCAATCCCTTTATTATCCGATGCTGTTGTAACAGACAAAGACCACAAAAGCACACTGGACGAGAACTTCACTTATTTACTTTCTGTTTTGGGGATTAGGTAAAAAGTTTCAAAACAATGGTAAATACCGTTCCATTAGAATAAAACAGTTAAAGAAAACCACTCACATAGCTGAAAAAAATTATATTTTATGAGAAATTATAATTTACAATATTTCATACAGGCATCCATCTTCAGTCGGAACTTAAGCTAAAATTCTCACAATCTCACGCAAAAGGTAAAGCAACGTTAGACTATAATATAGTTTTAGCAATATTTTGTGTAGTTGTCGCCCAACTGAAAATTAAATAGGTAATAAACACACCAGTACACGCATTTCAGTCCATTCGTAAGGAAGATACGAATCCATGGTGCTTATGCGCAAATAGGCGCGGCGACAGACTGGCTCCCTTGCACACCTCCCAGCAAACAGCAAAGTGAAAGGATATGAAAATATCTTATACGCTGGCGATTTACATCTTAACATTATGAATTTTAAACGCGAAATATCTAGCAAAGTCCAAAAAAATCAATACTAAAAGTTAAATAAATTCGTGTTTTTGGAGTATTATAATGTTCCCTGATGTGAATGTGCTTAAGTAATTATATACTTTCATATCCATTAGACTTTTATTTGTACTTGGTCATTGAGGAAGATTTTACTATAATAATTTGCGATTTTAGGAAACGGCAATTAAATGCATACAACGCTTACACGCGCGTCGTCCTACGTAATAGATATTGAGGTGCATTGATGAATTTTCGTCTACGACGGCTGAACGTGTCAAAACGCCGCTGTCCTTTTATTTAGAGCATTTTAGTAATTATGGGTTTGTGTCTTGTTTTGTTTTGTGAGACACAAACGCGGAGGAGTAGAGTGCAAGGCTCGCGCAGACCGCAGCACGCCTGTGTTGGGCCCAAACTAACTTCACAATATTGCTGTACAAACTGCTCAAAAGAAAATTAGTTCCTATGTACAGGGCATACACAGATTGCACTTCAGTGGGTAACATCAATAAGTAATTTTCCAATATTGTGCGCTAAGTTTCAACTTCACATTATTTTGAGCATTTCAGACAGCTGTATCTTAATTAAAGCATATAGTTTTGCTATTGACAGTGCCGTTGCTTAGAAATGAAATAGAAAAAAGCTAACAGACAGAAAGTAGAAAAATAAAGTCACAACAACGAATAAGTTAATTGTACAATAAGTTATGTATGTTTATCTCAAAATAGAAACTTTGTTTCTAACTATATATAAAATAATAATAACTAAATCATAACACGAAGCAACAAACTAAATTAAATGTAGCATAATAATAAAATACTCTATATGGAAAACAATGATAAAATTATGAATAATATTTTTGTGCTTCACGTTACGATTGCTTCATTAGTGATGATGCCAATAGCAAAACTTGGCACTGGACTGTCAGCTCAATTCACTCAGCACATTTAGACCCAAATGTACAATATATTACATCCATGTGGAAAAGCTTTCGTGCAAAAAACATCGGCTTTTTTTCGGCGGTTTTTACATGTCACTTCTCGCTTTATTGTATCCCTCGGGTTTCTAGTAAAAAAAGTTTTATATCAAATGCATCAAAAATGTCCTTAAACAACTAACGTAGTTAACTTCCTATCCTCGACATACGGCTAGCTGAATGGAATTTCATATACAGATAACATTAGGAAGAAACCAAATACACCAGACCACTGCGTACACAAAGCCTACAGTTAACGTAAAACGTTTTGCGTGAAGTCAATTCGTTTAGAAAAACACCATCTTTAATTATAAACAGCTTAAATAATAACATAATTCAAGTAACAAAATTCCAATGTACAAAAGTAACGTAATTTTTAAATACAATAAATTTATAATTTTTCCAAGCTAACAGAACAAACGGTAATGATATAAAATGTATGTCATATCGATTTGGATCAGTGGGGCTCGGGCGTCCCTAGCGAGCTCTGAACTCGCCCCACCCTCGTGCCATGGGCCTCGAGACGTCGTATCGTAACTATAATAAATACGTAATGGTAGTAGCACGGATGCACCATGATCGACACACGGTGTGGCCACTAGGAAGTCCATCTCTGACTCTCGACCCACGAGGATGATACAAAACACGTTTAAGTTCATTGGACTAGTTTGTTCAAATCCATACGTCTGGACATAATAAATGTATACTAATATAGAAAGATATTATGGCAACAAACTTTACAAAAATCCTAAAACAATGACTAAAAGCAGCTCATGGTAAGGCCAGGACTCACCATAACTTTTAAAATGCACAATTTAATATTCACCGATACAGACACATACATAAATTGTAAATAACTTCATCATAAAAAAACATGTCAAAAAACCTGACGCGTCGTGAAGCGATCCGATCGGATCGAGAACGATGTTTTCCGACGAAGTGCGGCCGATACGACTGACGACTGAACGACGACGCGACGCGACGCGGCGTGCACCCCGAACTGATACTAGTTTTTGGGTTAAATGACTTACAATCTATCCTTACTTTCTCATTAAACATTTTAAGGTGAATAAGTTCGTCCATCCGACGTTCAGTTCGTGAATTTACACATTCTGTCGTGAAATGATGATGTTTAATTTATGTGTTATACACAATCACAGATTTGTGTCAGGGATCACGTAATCGCTTACACGAGGTTGTACTCCTTCAAGTTGGATTGTAGGATTGTGTCTTTAACTGCGGCGAACACGAATCGGATGTTTTCAGTATCTGCAAATGGAATTATCAATATAAGTATAGCGACGTCACGTGTTACAACAATTATTTACTCAATTTGAAATCAATTGCAAATGAATCTTGTTGTGGTAGAGACAACGTTAATACTAATATTTTATTACGTTTGTTAGGGAAAACGAGTAAATGACTCACTGCACAGGATGTTCTGTTTGTAATGAAAAATATTCAAGTGCAAATTTTCAAAAAGAAAACAATTCGACATCCGGAACGTGAAATTTTTATTTCCATTTACTTCTAACAGAACCACCTGCATGTACCTCAAAATAACTGCACCTTTTAGTGTGTATAGTACTCACCGTAATAGTTGATAATAAATAATATCTACGGCTTATGTTCACGATTGCTAGACACTGGAAATGAAGCCATTGTCCGATCTAAATCCCGTACACTCGACTTTTCAAGGAAACCAACTTCTCGAGGTCTTTTTCAGGCCTATATACGAATGCATGTACCCGCATTCGGAAAAATAGTTTCATTTCCAATAAATAACACCGATATTGCATGACAGAGTGAGTGAGAGTACACCTACATATACATACAATGTCAGTGTTTTAAGAGTACCTATTTTTATTGCTTTTTGTTTTAATGGCGTTGCTATACGTAGTGCACTAACTGTGCAACGCCAGTGTTGCCCAAATTCCGTTAGTCTACCGCTAAATTTATGACCAAATATTAACAATTTCAAGAAAAAGGAATGCGTTGAATTTACTTAATTTCAGAAGGTGTAGTGCGATGTCTAAGCTAGGGTTTATTAAGACTAAAAACTATAAAATAAGTTACAATGGAAGTCACCATTAGGTCTCCGCTGCACGCACAACCTTGAACTATGTAGCAAGAATCAGATTGTTGTCAAGTTTGTATAATTTTTTTGTTAATAAATAAGTGCGCATTTGACATCTATTTCACTTGATCATGACCATGACAAAAGTGATGATGATTAAGTAGCATTACGGATCGACATTACTATTAACTTACACGGTAATTCTTCTTAAACTTAGATTTAAAAATATATAATTTTATTATAAATATGGAAGTTACTAACGTGAATGAAAGAAAAATAACAGTTATATATAGTCATTTATTTATTTATTTATTTATTTATTTATTTATTTAGGACAACCAACAAGACATGAAATTAACTATAACAATGTACAAACAGTGACACAGGGACTATACTTAATTCTGCCTTAATTATAGGTCGCCACGGCATGCAAATGTGGACATAATACAATCAGAATAATAAACAAATGAAATTAAATAATTATTAAATTACAAAAAACTCCAATTAAAATACAATATTAATGAGTACAATAAAATGAATAATTAATTATAAGGAAATTATAAAAAAAAAAAAACATATTGTAAAAACCGAATCAAAAAGACAAAGATACAATTGCTTAAGTGTAAGATAATCAGCATCAGAGATTTAAAAAATAATGAGATATAATTAAAAGGTTTACTTTAAAAATCAAAATAACAATAGCTGCGACAATAAACAAACATATTTATATAACTACAATGACGCGGACACGAGAGAAGACTTTATTGCGCGTTTAAAGCGTGAGGTACTATATGAAAAAATGTCGATGAGACAGTCACCTTGCTTACACAAGAGGTTATATTGTCTTTGCAGTCGATTCATGGTGGCGTGGTGACCCAGATTGCTTCTACTACCCTTAACTGAAAATGGAACGAACCTATTCAAACGAGGTAGCTTCAGGGGTACGTTGATGTTCACTAATCCTAACAGGAAGGGGCAATCTACGGCTCCATTGACGATCTTGTGTAAAAACATATGATCCAAGAGCAATCTTCTGTTCCGCAAACTCATTAAGTTAAAATGAGAAAGGCGATCCTCATAAGAGGGCAGCTCCTGAACTTTGTGAGCCTGATAAGAAAGATGCCACATGAATCTTCTTTGAACACGCTCAATTTGTTTTATGTGTACTTCATATTGCGGGGTCCAGACCTGGCAGCAATATTCCAGGCTGGGCCGCACCAAAGACGAATACAACGATATCTTTGTGGAGGGATTTTTAAAATCTTTTGCATTTCTCAGCACAAATCCAAGCATCTGAAATCCCTTCGTGACGACATTGTCTATGTGCTTGTGAAAAAGTAACTTTTTGTCCAGGGTTACTCCTAAGTCGCGGATTGTGTCCACCTCCTCCAAAATATGACCGTTGATGTCATATGCCGGCGACATGGTGTTTTTGCATCTTGTGAACCGGATATACTTGCATTTGCCGATATTCAAAAGTAATTTGTTTTTATTACACCAGCGAATAAGTTGATCCAAATCATGTTGTAAGAGAAGGGTGTCATTGCCACTATTGATCGGTAAACAAAGCTTCATATCGTCCGCATAAAGGAAGCAAGTAACATGTTTGAAGACATGTACGATGTCATTGATAAAGATATTGAAAAGGACCGGACCGAGGTGAGAACCCTGAGGGACTCCGGATACGGATGAGAATGGTACAGAAGAGAAACCATCCACCACAACCCTAGACAAACGTTGACCCAGGTAAGAAGAAAACCATTCAAGAAGTTTACCGGTGATACCAAACAGAGAAAGTTTATTTAGCAAGATCCTATGATCTACGGAGTCAAAAGCTTTACTTATATCTGTATAAATGGCATCTACGGACCCACGCGCGTCAAGAGCATCGGTAACAAACGCCAAAAAGGATACCAGGCTTGACGTTGTAGAACGAGATGAAAGGAAGCCAGACTGTTGGGGTGAGATTAATTGATTAATATGCCAGGCCAAGAGACGACACAAAAGAGACTCAAATACCTTAGAGAACACTGACAATATTGATATGGGTCTATAGTTTTGCACCAAAGAACCGTCTCCTGATTTAAAAATTGGGACAATTGTTGCCTCCTTCCAAGTTGATGGGAAAACACCGGTTCTCAGAGATGCATTAAAAATGATTGTGAGAGGTAAAGAGAGTGGTTCGCAGCATTGAACCACAAATGCTGAAGGTATACCATCCGGACCGGCACCCTTCTTCCGATCCAACCGCTTTATAACTTGTTGAACTTCTTCCTGAGAAAATTGAACAATACCAAGAGGATGAGAGCTGAGAGAGGAATCGTCTGTGCATTCCTGTGAAGAGAAGGAATCTGAGCTGCTCTTATGAACAGAAGCAAAGTAGGAGGCAAATAAATTACAAATTCCATCCCCTCCTGTAGCTTCGCAACTCCCAGATCTCATAGATGTTGGGAAAGTACTAGTGTTTCGCCTTTTGTTTTTTATGTGCGTCCAGAACAATTTAGGATTTTCAGACAGTGACCTCTCTATATCGGTAATATATTTTATGTAAGTACTGTTCGTTAGATTTATACATCTTTTTTTTAGTGTACACAGAGCCAGCTCATCTAATGGGTTTTTGTATTTTGTTACTTTTTTTCTGAGTTTGTGTTTTTCATTTAGAAGGCGAATCAGTTCGTTCGTATACCAGACCGGATAATTACCTTTTGCAGGTTTGCATTTTGGTACATGCTTGGCTATAGCCACTTTCAATATTTTATAAAATTTATCCACCATTGCATCTATGGAGTCATTAGATGAAAGGGTAATCTCCCAGGGCGTTGAGTTTAAATCATTAATTATTTTGTCAAAGTCAGCTTTGTAGAAATTATATTTTTCTTTGGTAACTGTATTGGATGATGCAGATGAATTTTGACAATAGATTGCGAATTCCAATGGCGGGTGATAAGAATCGAGATTACTTAACGATAGGTCACTACGTTTCACATTCGAGATCCCTGTGTTAGAAAGAACAAGGTCTAAGACTTTGTCGTCCTTGTTCAGGATGTAATTATGTTGAATCAGCCCATTTAACGCCAAAAATTCTATAAGAGATTTTTCATACATACTCTTGGCACCAAAAGAGGATCCAAACGACGAAGTACCGCTACTATCGTTGTTGTTCCAATCAATACCGCTGAGATTAAAGTCACCCAAAATTAAGGTTTTTTTATTCGAATCCAAAACGTTATTCGTATTATCTATAAAATGGTCAAGGATATCTTTTTGAATTGGCGACGGGAGGTAAACACTACATAGTAATAATTTTTTACCTCTACGGAAATCTAATTCCACCCATAAGTCCTCGCATTCACTTTCAAATCCAGGCACCCTGCGTGAGCACATACGTTTTGTCACGGCAATGAGTACCCCGCCACCTGATCTATTTCTGTGGAATCCAGTCGTCTCACGATCGCGTCTGTACACTACATATCGATCACTAAATAGTTCACAGTCAAAAATGGTGCTATTCAACCAAGTTTCACATAATACTATAATATCGTAATCACAGCATAGTACGTTTTTATAAAAAGCAGAGGTCTTTGTACGAAGACCTCTGACGTTTTGGAAATATACATTTAAGGTATGCATTTTTAAATCGTAACAATAGTACACAATGTTCAATATTACTATAATTGTAAAATTGTTGTAATTTTGCTTAATTAGCAAAATTATAACAATTTTTCAAGTGTTGACGAGTCACGTACAAACACGTATTCAGATGTGTCGGTTTTGCGCATATATATGCGACCGCCGCGAACCCAAACATACTTGTAGTGCAGTTCCTTAGCCCGCATCCGCGCCGCGGCGTGAAGAACTTTATTCTCCGGCGAAAGGTTTTCAGCCACGTAAATGTCCACCTTCCTTTCTGTCTGCTGACCCAGATGCCCCGCGTTTAATTTGTCCTGTGGTTGTTTTTTATTATATTTTATAGCAGCCGCCAAGAACATGTCGCGCGAACGCGGACTATTAAGTTTGATTAAAATGGAACGCGGTCTGGGACTCTTAGCATCCTTTTTGGCAATGCGTGAACAATACAAAATATCAGACTCTTTGATGGGGCACGAAATCACTTTAGCGAGCTGAGTAACCATTGTAATTACGTTTTCCGATTTGCGTTCGGGAACACATTGTATTTCCAAGTTAGATGCCC